TCACTTAGGTTATTTGGTGTGTTTCTTATCTGAATGGAAACTGAAAGAAGTAGCGCAACATTGGCCAAATATTCAATGAATTTAAGGGCTTCCCAGGAAAGAAGGTCCAAAATTAGGGTGAAAGACAACAAAAGTTTCTCACTTAATTAATCCACTATTAGGTTATGGAGAAAAGGTGACAAACAGTAAGCCTGAAGGGCACCACTTTTGGTCATGTTGGGAGAGTATTCCCAGCAGACCTTAACGCGCCCGCAGGTATATAGTATGATGGTTGGAGGACTGTGAAGAAAATGCGTGGCACACCATTGAAAGATAGACATCCCCACAAAGCAGCGCGACCGAGCCGGACATTACGTTCAGACATGAGAACAACAATTATTGTTTTTCTGTGTGACGATGCTCCAGCAGTTGTCGTGAGGTAGAGATATGGTAAATGCAGCCACGACCCGAACGGAACTCTGCTTGGTTTTCACGGCTCTCCTCACAAAGGTGCTGGTATTCCTGCGTGGGATCATATCTGTGGGCAACTTGGAAGCGATCATGATCAAACGGGCACTCTGATAATTGGCTGATATTCAGATATAACATCTATTTTGAAGACAGGAACGACATCAAATATCTGCTATTCCTTTGGCACTTCCTGTCTTACAAATGGTGTGCACAGGTGATTTCGAGCTGAGTAATTCTCCGTCCTTAGACAAAGCGGAGAAAGACAGTAAAAACCTTATCCCTTCATCTTCTGTTACGACCGAGCCAATAAAGTCCCATTGTGACCTTTGACCTTTATCTTGGAGGAGGCGGTGGAAATCACTAAGCATCACAGCGTGAATAGAATCGAGGGTGTGGAGCTAGCGAGCGTATGGAAAGCGGTCTTAGATAAGCCGAGTTGACACGTGACGGTGTGGTTGTCAATCCAATTAGGATCATTAGAAAAAACCGGGGTTAGGGGTGGAAACCCCAACCGACCAAAGATCACAGCATCCCTCCTACACAACTTTCTTAGCACTAGCTCACCCACACAGACTAACAGAAGGTTCAAACGAAGTTCAAGAGGAACCATCAAATGAACCGAACCAGAAGAACTAGACCCTAGGCAGGACCCAAACACATGTAGGTTTCCCCACCGACCCGACACTTGTTCAACCACTCTAACACCCAACAGAGATTTAGCTTGACTTAGCTGGTTGGTTCTCCTTTCGCCTTAAATCTCGATCAACCTCGGAACCTGGTCACTTGGCCTGACGAAGCTTTTGTGTCAAAAGCGAAACGTTGCCCAGCAATAAATCTACCGATTGTCACCACACTTTTCGACATTGATGATTACCCAATCGGTTTCAAGTATTTTCCACGTGATTGAATGCGACGGAGTTGTTTAGCTTATTTGAAATGGTTTGAATTTTCAAAGGATCTGAAAGCTAGGAGGGCAATGTCGTCTGCGTGCTCAATGTCTGTAAGCGAGCTTCCCGGGAGCATTTCAACGTCCGAGGTTTCAGAAACAGACAGAGAAGTTTCCAGCAGTACATAAACAGCAAATTTATGAGCAAAGGTGAGAAAGTGAGTATATTGTAGGATTAAAGTATAGCTTCTTTAACTAGCTTCCATTCAACATCCAAACAATCTTCATTACCCGAATGACCTTGCATTTCCAGTAGCTTTCTATTCAGATCAGCCAGATACTCTTGAGCTACTGAAACTTGTCGAAGTTAATAAGTAGAACCACTATGCTTTGGCACACACAATACTGAAGGAAAGCGAAGTGATAACCGGGTTCAAACAATGGCGTGATCAGAGTCAAGTTGCGCACTTAAGGAATAATAACCTTTATTTGACGTACTCTATCGGCAGCTGGTAGCCATATGGCCTAACTGAGTGCATGACTGCCTTGCGGTTGGTGGTCTCCAAGTAACTAGATGTGAGCATTTGTATCGGAAGTTCGTACAGACCAGGAACTGACGATAATCTGTATACACCTGAAACAGTCGCTTCTCATCATCCGTGCGCTGAGCAACAACTCCGAATCTACCACCTAACAGTGCTTCTTCCGAACTTAGTTGTCCAACTTCGGCATACATATCACCCGCCAGGATTACTATATCCGTCCTTCTTGCCAACCGGAGCAGTCGTCACAGATCTTGATAAAACGCGCCCTTTTCAGTCTCAGAACTACTATCTGTTGGGGCGTACGCTGATAACACAAACAAACACCGTTTACCACCAACCGCTTCGTTAATCTCACTTAAGCCAGACAACCGCGCAGCGCAAAGGCGACCGTTTACTAGAAACCCGTCCTGTAAAGCACTTTCAACCTTGAAGTTGAGTGAAATTTCCATACCACAGATACAACAGCCATTGTGTAAGGCTAACCGTATACCTGAAAAATGAGACGTGGAACATCTGAGCTCATCCTAAGCGGCCTGAAGTACAGAAGTGGGGTCTTGTATGTGTATTTCGGAGACACGCCATACATCGACGAGGGGAGGAAAATTTCCAGCAAAAGATGCGTGTTACCCGATTCGACTTAGAGTAGGGACAATAAATGCTGCAACATGGATCAGATCTCTTGAGTTTAATAAAAGATTATTTTGGTCTATTTTTTCGCGGCGATGGCTTAAGAGACTGGCAGACGGGTTGGTCTCATTGCATCGCTCTATGATCGGTGAGGGGCTGTAGGGGGAAGGCAGATGAGTGAAGAATAGCAAGGGGGAATGATACTTCTCGGTTGCCCAGACCGAAGGGGTTTGGTTGATGTATCCCACCTTGGGCCTCTGACTCAGAAGTCTGAACCACGAGGGTCGGAGGACCCTCTGAGGACCAATAACCCAATAGTCTGAACCAGTTGGCTACAGGAAGCGGCCTGGCCCGAAGGCGGGAAAAAGGCAGTGCTGTCTCACTCGTAAAGCAGCTGTGCACAACAGATGCCTTCTGAACAGCACCGGAGTCTTTAGTTTCAAAAAAGTGGTCTGACGTATGGAATAATGCGTCGACGGTCACGGTTAACTATTAGGCGACCAGTGTGTGGTATTTAGAGCCAACCTTCTCTAATCTGGGGAGGGGGAGTAGTATCACTGCCTCCATAAACGTAAACATCATTGTAGCCTGGGGAAAACGCCTCACTGTCTTCCCACTCCTGTCGCAGAGAATACGGCTTTACCTTCAGGCCGTTTCGTACTAAGATTTCTCGTAGTAGGGGGCTCGGTGTTCTTCGCCCAGCTACTTGTCTTTCTGGCATGGTTGAACCTTTAGGAACCGAGATCCAGCCAGTACAACCAACACGATCATTGCAGCACAGACACTCGACCACCACGATAAGGTGACAACTTTCGGTAGAGTGAGGTATTGAAGTTGAGTTAGAACAACGGAACCTCCAATCAACGAGTTTGCGCCCTAACTACCCAGCTATTTCGAGCTGTCGTTTGGAAGGGCCTACGGGGATATCACTAGAGACTGGATAGGGGGCGAAGAGCGAATATGTGAAGGACAGCGAAGAGAGGCATCAATATTACTCGTTTCGCTTACCGACCCTGCTGTACGCAGTAATTAAGGAGACCCGGCTGATGGTACCATGCGACAGTCGATGTGGTATGAGATTACTTGCAAATGTAGAACTCATGATCAAAAATTAGCTGAGATTCTGCCATGACGTTCAGACCTAGATGGGACGATTAGGGTTCTTGACATAATCATTTGGCTCAAAGACCTCACCCCGAGGCGGTGGTGGGTGATGCAACTGTAAAAGTAATTTTTAAGTACAAGTCCCCACAATTCCACAACCTGCAACGCCAGGAGACTGCGCTGAGCAGAGCTTTAAACATTGACCAACCGGGTATGAATGCGAGTCCCAGGGACCATTTAAAGTATAGCTCGATGGGTAAGGCATGCGTAAAAACTGAGAAACCACTGTAAGGTCCGAAACCGGCGCTGACACCTTGTGCTAACAATGTTCACGTGTTTAACTTATTAACTTTAAAAGGGAGCAGCTGTCTTCATTCCGATCACTCTGCTCAGGGACTCACCAGACAAACGCAGGCGGACGGCCGTCTGGATATCTCTACTTGTGATCGTCGATCGCTTGTTAGACAAGGCTTTGCAGAGGAATACAGCTTTTTGTGACGTCCCTCCTCCTCCCGTCTCGGCATCGTTCCTTGGAGCTCTTTCCTCCCTAATTATAAGGGAATTGGGAAATAACTTCCACAAGCTGTGTAATGAGGCTTCATCAATACTTGTGCACAGTGTCATAGCCGTGCTTATGACTGCTGTTACACCCAGTATAATGGGATGTTCGATCGATGTAACTTTCGAGCCGGTAAGCAGCCTCATCCTTGAAACGAGTGGCTTCAGGAATTCACACATGAAGTACTATCAGTGACATTCCTACAACAGTTACTTATAGAAAGCCGCACACATCTACGCGAGAAATAACTACTTATAACCCATCTGTAAAGCCATACACGTGTGCGATATCTACGGGAACAAGTTGAAACCCATGCGCGCAAGCTATTCACAACGCATCTCACTTTCACGGTAATTTTACTGTGATCAAACCAAGGCGACTTCACACATGACAACTTTTGAATACCACTATTACAACTTTTGATTTTTCATTTTTGTGACCTGTGAGAAGCTCATGAAAGGTTCCGTAGGATTTTAACAATGAATAAAATCTTAATTTGGTTCATATGCACTGCAACAGCGCTTATGTGTTTGTTCCACTTGCACTCCGTTTTTGCCTAGGTGTAACGTTTTTTAAAAATAGAATCTCCGGCGACTTACACGGTCTCTGCATGCATGTGACGAGAGTGTTGTTGACACAAACCAGTGATACCTAAAGCGCCATTCAGCGACAATGTATAATTTGTATATGTATGTACGTAGGCTTGTATGTAGGTATGTATATGTATGTATATGTATAATTTGTATGGGACGAACTAAGGAGAAATTGTTCAAGAGGTTGTGATACTGGCATCAGCCACAACTTTTGGTAAAAATCCATTAACACTCACCCGAATCCGTTGTGCTGACGTCCTCAAGTTGGGTCCATCTGATTTCGGTCTGCTTCCTGATACAAACCTCTATTTTCATCGACGAGACGCGGAATGAGGATTGCTCGGGAACAATGGGGTGCGACAGCTGAAACCTCTTGAGAAGTTCATCACCTGCGGGTGTCAAGAGGAAAATTGCTGCCTGCGACAGGCGAGATAAGCGCGGGAACCGGTCGTACCGATTGGTTGTCGAAATCCACTCTAACATCTGACGGCTTTAGATTCTTCCGCAGGTAGTTAATTGTCACATCTCTGTCAGATTGATACCAATCAAACCTTCAAGAGAAGACATGCAGTACAAATTGCACTGAAACGAACTTGTCGCCAGATGCTGACATACCGCCAACGAGGTTGTTGGAACATTTAGCTCGGAAAAACAAGTGCTCCAGTTTTGACAAAGTTCATGGGGGTGGTACATCAGGTACAGGGGTCACTTGGTAACAAACCATGATGCTGTGTGAAGAAAGCAGCTCTTTTCCGAGCTAAATGTCCTTAACACATCGAGGTTGGAAGGTCTACATCGAGTCAATGGCAAATCGGTTTTGGGTAATTTATTGAGGATTTGGGTAGCAGATTTTTGACAGCAACAGAGGTCGGGCCGACAGTGCGCTATAAAACAGATGTAAATCCTGGTGCGTTAGTGTGCAAATGTTAAGCACTGCCGTGTTTGTTCTTGTATGTCCGTTGAAATAAGCCGGTTTCCTTTTTCCTCGCGCAAAATTATGGAGGAATTTTTTCTTTTAAATCTGTTCGCAGAGTACACACGGGTCACTGTTGAATTTTATCACTCTATTACAACATTTAAGTGATATCCCTTGTTATTTTGCGCTCAGTTCTTCTTTTGCATCCAGTCTGAACCGTGACATCGATGAAGGACGCAAACACAAAGAATGCAGCAAACTGGGCGAAAGCTGATAAAAAACATTCTTCGCTGAATGAATACCTCGCGCTATCCATCCCTAGTCCTCTGGCTGGGAGGTAGGTCCACAGCTCCCTGACGTGGCAATAAAGACGACCACGGCGTCTCTAGTGTACAAGCGGGTAAAGGAGAGAAGATTTATCACCTGAGGATAGTTCTCCAGATAAATCAAGCCAACGAGGCTGGCAAAGTCTCTCCTCGGTAGTGCTCACGGATTCACGGATTGATACACAGGATCGACGCCTTTGCCAAAGTTTCCCGGGTGGGTTTTGTTCTTGTCGGTCAGTGGCTGTCGTTCACCTGAAAGGCACAAGTGAAAAAAGGGTGTAGCACTGCTCTTTATGTTCTCAGCGCGGGGCAGTATGCTCGCCAGCGCGAGGATTCGCATAAATAAATGTCTAATAGTGCTTTAAATTGGGTTCGAGAAGCAGCGTGTACAACCGTCGGAGGAAGGTCATTCCACGCAGCTACTACCCGAAATGAAAAAAAGTTTTGTCTAATGAATGTGTGTGCCCTGAGCTTGAAAATTTTCTTACTATGTCCTCGCCGGGTGTTTGCTGGGTCAACGGTAAAAAACCTGTTGCCAAGCTTTGTTCAAACAGGGCGTAAGTAAGAATTAGGTCCCCTCGGAGGCGATGGTACTCCAGGGGAAAGAGATCAAGCATCGCGAGACGCGTTTCGTAGTCCACGGATTTGAGGCCGGCATCCATTCTCGTGGCGGCCCGCTGGACACGCTCAATGAGGGTAACGTCTTTCGTACGTCCTGAGTAGACAACTTGGTTGGCGTACTCCAGGAGCGTTTGAAGTCTCACCAGAAGGAAAGCAAGCGAACACCTTGGCTTCTAGAGATCCATTCCTCTCCATCTGCCGTACGGAAGAACATGGGGCGGGCTGTCAGTGGTCAAAAGACGTACCCAACAGTCAAGGGTCTATCTGAAGATCACTCTCTGGATGGGCAAAATTTGGGCCAGCGCAGTTCCAGGGAGAGGCAAAAGATAAGCTTCCGCCTGGCGGCGTCAGCCGATCCCAAACTTATGGCCAAACCGATTGTAGTTATAACCTATTGTGCTCCTGAAGGCAAGCTGACGCAAACAGGCTCGTCTCCGGTCAGCAGTTTCTGCTCAATCACCGCAGAGACGTTGAATGCCAAAAGCAGAAATGCTCGCGATTGGGCAAGACTCATGTGGACGCAGCGCCCAAAGTGTGTTGAGCTATCAGCGCTTCTTTCCGTAACAGACAACAAAGGTGCAGCAGTGAACTCCTCATCAAAGTCACAGCTCCTGAGCTGGACTGAGTGAAACGTGCGGGGACAAGCAACAAAGCCCACCGACAAATCAACCGCATGCATTGATCATGACATCGGGGAATGCTGCGACCAGCGTACGAACATTGAGAATTTGAAACTGCCAATCTCCAGCTCCACTCCGTGAAAAATGGTTAGTTTGCTTGTGAACGCAGTCGTCGCTCAGGACCCCGACAGCCAAAGCCACAAACCTGACAACAGCGAACCGGAAAATCCCCCGTACATCCAGTTAGCCACGCTGATCGCCGGCGGATCGGGCGGCCACTCAAACACGAAAGAAACGTGACTGCAGCCAAACAAGGCACGTAAAATTCGTCAAATCAGAAAACTGCTATCTTGCTTCGGGGTGCAGTCCTCTGCGAAAACGAGTCCCAGGGAAGCGCCACGGAAAGAATTGCTTCTTGTTTCGGCCAGCCATCGGTAAGGGCCTCATAGAGACTTCTTTCCGATCAAACCGCACTAATACTCCCAGGGAACCGGACACACGCGATTTTGCAACAAATCTTGGATCAAAAGCATACCTGGTCTTCCAAAGGGCGTTATTGAAAGAGATTCAAGTAGGAATGGTCGAAATTTTCGTTCCCCAAAGGTGGAAAAAACTTTCCAGCTGAAAACCATCTATCGAAACCACCAAGACAGGAAGCAGATGAACATGTCTCAGAAGCCCGCTCGGAGCCTTGGCTGTAACTCGACGTACAACTACTAGGTCTGCAAG